CCTGCTGGAATGGGCTCCCAAGGGAGGTGGTGCTCTCCCCTGCCCTGGGGGTCTTCAAGAGGAGGTTGGATGGGCATCTGGCTGGGGTCATCTGAACCCAGCACTCTTTCCTGCCTATGCAGGGGGTCGGACTCAATGATCTATTGAGGTCCCTTCCAACCCTAACATCTATGAATCTATGCATCGCCTGCAGCGCAGCACAGATCCAGACCATGTTTTCCACCGCATGCAGCACATCCTCAGACTCCCAGATGCTGGAGCCAGTTCTGTGGCAGTCCAAGCCCTGGAGCAGTGTAGCAAAGGCACTGGGAAGGATGAGCTCAGAGCTCCTCCCAGCTCCCCCAGGCCAGGGGAGTTTCCACCTATGGGCCCCTGGAAAGAAGCTGTAGGAAGCCAAGAACCAGGCCTGCAGAGGATGGGCATAATCCTGCCGAAACCCAGGTCCCAGGCACATGACGCAGGAGGTGCAGAAAAGCCTGCTTTTTGATCTTTCACAAAATCCACCCCTATTTGATGCAGTCCCCAATCTGCCTGCACTCCATTCCCTCCTGCGTGTACGTACAGCCCCGAGCGCAGTGAGGCATTGGTCTCAGCCAATACCACTCAAAGCCTCCCCAATGCAGGTAACACATAAGAGGCCTGATGCTAGCAGGTGGCTTCTCTCTGCCATTGGGTTGCTTTAAACTTTTCCCGGTGTAGCCACATCTTGCAGGTTTCCAGGCTTGGTGCTTTTGTCACACTCCTTGCTTGTGAAACTGCCCTTGTGTAACACTGCAGGGGGGTGTAAAAGCCCCCACTCCACCCAAAAGGCTACGGTCAGGACTTGAGCAACCTGCTGAAGACAGTTGGACACAAAATATCCCTGGGTGGAGTGTGGAGAAGGATCTTAACTAGGCCCTGTTTAGCCAGCCAGCATTGTAGCACAGTCCTTGTAATCCCAAAAGCGGTGCGACTCTCGGTTAAGTTTCTAAGGGTGTGACTCATCCTCACCAGCGGGCATTAGCTAATCCACAAGCAGCCTTCCAAGGTCTGGGCTGTTGCAACTAGACCCAAAAGATTAAACAAGAGCTATGACAAAGCTCTGTATAACACCAGGAAGCTGCTGCAACCGGCTTTCACAATGTGTTTGTTTTCTAGGATGTAATGCCAAGGATGCATACCGCAAGCAGGCCTATACCGTTGCACCGAGTCCAGACCAGGGGCAAGAGATTTGAGGTGTTAGGGCTGCAACTTTTACTTTGGGGCTGTCAATTTTTAATAAACCTGTTTAGTTTACTGAGGATTAAACCCCCGTCACGTATACAAGCGCCCTAAGGCTCCAACTCATTGGATTCCTTGCACTAAAAGATTTTACCTGTCCTCACACCCTTTTGCCATACCTGTATTCTAGCAAAGTGATGCAAAATCGTTAGCTGTAGAAGTAATAAGCTCAGGGAAGAGGATTTGTGGGGATAGGGTGGATTCTCCACTGAGAGCTTTCTAAATGTTCCCACCAAGTGCAAGGTTTTGCACGGCCATCATTGAGAGACTTTCTGGCCTTGTGACAGAGGAAGCCAGAGCAGGGAGGTGTGTCTGCAAACTCTTCTAATTCTTATTACCTGTCAGCCAGCTCCCCGCATTGGCCTACACACAGGGGCTCTGAATCAGCCTAAGCCCTGTTCCTCTGGTGCCCTGCATTCATGCTCAGCCTGCTCCAAGTCACTGGCATGACAATTCCTTCCATGCGTCCGGAAAAATCAGTGCAGGAGAAATCAGATGAACTTCTATGGATTTCCGTGGATTTACAAGTGAACCCAAGTGGCACCTGGTGGTGCAATAATGGCAAAGCAGGGAAAATCACGTTTTTGGGCGTAAGTCAGATCCACATTACAAATTTAAAACAATAAAAATAACTCTCATAGAAGAAATTCCAGAGCTAAAAATAAAACATGTCAGAGCTGTTTTAAATTACCACAATAAAAACAAAAATCTAAAATGATAAAAAAAAATCTAAAACATGGATACACAGATGCTATTTAGGTAGCTTAATGGCGATTTTTGTCGCGTGGACATAGGAAAAGCATAACATGGAAACAGGAGAGGTGTCATGTGGACAAGCGCCCTATCTGATATTGCCTGGCAGTGCAGCTCATTCTGGCACATCTCAGAGGGCTGAGGCTGCATGGGGGGATAGAGGCAGAGGCTGGATCCAGCTGTTTCAGCAAACTCCCTTCTGCCAGCAATCTGTTCAGATCCTTCCCACTAAGCTCCATCCTGAAGTCCTCACAAAACTGATTCTGTTGGGAGCCTCATTAGTGGAGCCAATCCAGGTTGGCAGATGGACAGCACTCACATCTGGGCAGCAGAGCACCATGCTATGGGGGTCCCTCAGCTGAGCCCTCAGCCCCTAGGCCATGGGGATGGTGTTCACAGGTAGCTGGGTGCATTTTTATGGCCCCGGCAGGATGACACCGCAAATACCCCGGCCCAAAAACCCGACCAGACTTGTCCATGCAACCCAGCCAGAGACTCTCCCATAGTCACTCCCTCCCTGGCTCCAGCAGTGCACAGATAAAGTGCGGCACCTGGCTCTAGTTACTCAGAGGACATTTGAGCAGTCCTAATCTCAGGCCTGGTGCCCCACAGGCTGCCCATCCCCTGCATCTCCCACAATGGCTGAAGCCGCGCCAGGAGGCTGAGATGGAAAGCATCAGTGGGGACATCTCATTCACCACCCCCAGGCAGGGAGCAGATGTCAGTGGTCGGCAGCACTGAGTCCTGCCAGGAGCCTGGCCACTGAGACCTGGGTGTGCAGCTGTCTCTGCCACAGACTGGTGCTGGGCCCTTGGGCATGCTCCCTCATCTTCCCTGCACCTCAGCTTCCCTTCTCGGCAGCCCTTCCTTCCTCCCAGTCAATTTAGACTGTAAATTCCTCAGGGAGGCAAATGTTTCCTGCTGTGGGTTTTTGCTGCATATGGAGAGAAGCTCTCAGCCAGGGTAGGGGTTTCTCTCACCCGAAACCTGTGCAGTACCAGACATTACACTTAACGAGGGTAAGAGGAGGAGGGAGGGTGAGCTACTCTCCATGCCTCTAGACCCCACAAGAAAGCCTCTCCGTCTTGTCTGATTTCCTGGCGCCGCTACACTAGACTGCCGGAGCCAGTTGCAGGCTTACGTGCCAGGTCCCTCAGCCAGGAAGCAGCCGGCTGCTGTGCACATTTCCTGCCACAGGCCAGCGCTGCCTGCAGCTGAGCTGCTCCTGTCCCTCGCAGGCCTTGCTACACAGCTGTGCTCTGATTCAGGGCAATCTCTGCTTTATCTGTGCAGAGATGATGCACGGCACTGCCTTCCCCTGGCCTGCTCAGGGTGGTCTCGATGGGGGAGAGCAGCACAGTGCCACCCGCTTACCTTCTGTGCATCTTGTACTGTGAGCCTGGGGACCCCCTGGTGCAGCCCAGCCAGGAGGGGCCTCCAGGTTTTCCCACAGCCCCAGGGGTCACACGAGCCAGGGTGCCAAATGCCACCCCCTCCCAGGGGGTTCCACAACAAGGGCGCTATTAAAGCCATGGATGCTGGTAGGATCGTGTCCTGCTCTCTCTCCAAGTGGCCAGGAGCTGCCCAAAGCAGCGAGCCCAGCGCTTCTGCATGGAGAGAGCAACTGGGCTGTTGCTGCAGCTCAGGACGGGCTGTGCAGGGTCGGGAGCTCTTAGCCCCCCTCTGCTTCCAGCCGGCCGAGCCCAGATCTGTGGTTTGTGGTGGCACTGAGGCCCTTGGCATGCAAGTGCCTGGCACAAGCTATGCCCCCAGGGCCACGCAGACATTAGAGCAGCCTCCAGCGAGACAGTGCCAGCCTGGAGATGAGCCATGCCCTCCGGCAGCAGACATCCTCAAGCCTGGGTGTCTTGGCCAACTGCAGCATGCTGCAGGCTACATACCCAGCTGCTGCATTTGCTTCTCTGGGGCTGGGCCCAGGCCCGTTCCTTCCACCAGGCGGCAGCAGCTGAACGCTCAGTCCTGGTGCGTTGCATCTCCCGGGGTATTTGCAGCCTGAAGTGGGGGAAGCAGCTTACTGGGGTGAGAAGAAGGCTGTGAGCCTGATGGGGCAACTGGGTGCTTTGCAGCAGAGCCCAGCAGGGGGTGGAGGAAACCTGGACAAAATGACCTCCCCTGCATGAGGGTACCCCCGCGGGGGTCCAGGCCTTCGAAATGGGAGCAAATTGCACCAAACGCAGGCAGAAGGACCTCAGCCGAGGCAGCTGGGAGAGTGTCAGAACCCCCTGGGACTGGTCAAGGGTGTCATCTTAATTACTTCCAAAATGGATACACCCTTCCATCCCTTTCTGCTCCATATGTTGGGGGGTTTTAAGCCTTCGCCAAGGCACTGAGTGCTGGCTGCCGCCCAGGTTGGGGATTTGGACTGGGCAGTGCCAGTGCTTCTGCTGGGGCATAAACCCTCTTCCCCTCCACTCAGGGTCAAACCCATGCTGCATTTGGGGTCAGGAAGGAAATTCCCCCCTGTCACATTGGTACAGATGGGGGAGGAGGGGTTTGCCTTCCTCTGTAGTGGGGCCACAGCCTCCTCTGGGGTGTATTAACAACCTTTAATAAAACCGGATGCTGGCTCCCACAGCCCCGCTGCTTTCCTGGTAGCGGGAGCAGACGTGAGGTCTTGTGCTGTGTCAGGGGTGACAGTCGGATTAGAGGATGGATTTGTCTGGGGTGGTTCGGGCAGGACTGATCCTGCCTCAGGCAGCGGTCTGACTCAATGGGACCCCCACAGGTCCCTTCCAGGATCCTCTTTGCTTCTGTGTTTTGCCCCCCACTCCCAGGAGATGCAGCCTTCGGTCTCAGCCCAGCTCTCAAGTATAGGCTCCAAGGGGCCCCAGGCTGCAGTTCAGCTTTGCCTCCCTGGCTGCATTGCCCTGTGATGGCATCAGATCTGTCCAGACAGGAGCAGCTTTGTGATCACAACTCCACCGAGTTCACTCTCTGGGCTGTGGCTCCCTGCCACCGGTGAGTGAAAGCCATTGATGGTTAAGCGTGATCCCATGCACTGCAAAAGGCCCCCTCACCCCAGTGCCCCCCCACTCCCATGTAGCCCTATGCAGATCTTCAGCCCATGCACTGGCCTCCTCTCTCCCATGGAGGATCTTGCCACTCCTGCTATCCAGCGTGGGCTCACAGCCACCTGCTGCAGGGGCTGCCCCATACCCCAAAGCTGCAGGCAGGGTAGGAGCAATGCCCTGCTCTGGCCCCAGGGATTGATCAGGCCCCCTGGGCTAAGCTCCCCCCAGCCCCATTGCCCCAGGGCACACAGCATGATCCAGCCATGCTGCAAGAGGGAAATGGGCAATAAGAGCACAAGCAGGGGGTTTCAACAGCAGCTTTATTGTCTCACATCAGGCCCCTGTGGGCAGATGGGCACAGGCAATTCTGGGCATGGGAGATTTCTGCAGCGGGGGCAGAGTCATCTGGTCCAGGGTTTCCTCCAGCCTGGGACTGCACTCAGGGCTTTAGTCTTGGTCTGGGCGACACCGGTTTAAATTGTGGTGGATGCAGTGGGTGTCATAGGCCAGTTTAGCCAGGATCTTAGTGAACTCTTCAAAGCTCAGTTTCTTGTCTTTATTTTTGTCAGTCTCATTGAAAAGGCTGTTGATGTACCCGGGTTTGTCCCGATTCTGGAAGTGGGAAAAGCGCCATAAGTCGCAGCTCCCCATGGGGGGGATGCCTAGACGAATGCATGCCCTCCCTCGCTGGCAGCTAGGGAAAATTGACACCGCGGAGCTAGGCAGGGGTCTGCATGGCTGAGGTCAAAGGCACCTGGTTTCCTTGGGGTTGGCAACTGGGGCCTAAAACCAGAGCATAACTCTGCCCTGTCCCCATGAAAGCCAACCCCACTGGCCTGAACCCAGACACATGGGGAGCACCCCTGCTGCCAGCCTATTCCCCCACCCAGCCCACCTCCAGCTGCCACAGATGCTCTGATGAACCCGGGGGTCTTGGACTGGGCCAAAAGGCCTTTTGGGTGGGAGAGAGATGCATGCAGCTATTTGTGAGATGCCAAGCAAAGACAAGTCACGTGGCCCAGGCTACATGGCACTGAGCCCCCACCC